GATAGTAGGAAGGAAAAACACCTTTTAACAGGAAGAAACCTCCGGCAGAATCAGTCAGTGTAGATGACACAGCTACTACTTTATTAAATCTCTTAATCACAATTGAATAGAAAATGCACTTTTAGTATTGCTGTTATATTTATGCTGCATTCTGATGCATACGAATTTTATGTGCTTATCTTTATGAAACCACCTTCTCTGAAGCATATCTGCTGAGATACTCACACAGCACAGTCTAACTGTCCATCCATAATGCCACAACTTGATGAAGTAGTTTTCTTTCAGCTCATCATAAAGAATGATAGACCTGCTGGGTGATTACTGCCCACCGTCTTTGTCTTCATGCTCCATCTTTCCATAATGGCAAATCTGTGCAAAGAGACGGGCATGTTTGACGTCCTCGTCTTGTTCGCTCTTTGAATATTCAGTGAGGCCTGTCCTTTGAAGCTGCTCCTGGATCTCTTTGTGTGAGCGAAGCAGCTTTATTCATTGTGACTCATGCAAAGTGATCTTTAACCCAGAGGGGAACCACAAAAAACTCTTTTGGGACTTCTGCAATCCCCTCTCCGGTGGATCATGTTTTGGAAGTTAAAATTAAGTTTTTTTTTTCTTTGACATACCAAACTGAGCTCGTGTAGAAATCATTTTTTTCAACATTAAACTTTCTTAATGCATTCAGCTTTGAAATAGTGTTTTCAACATCACTTTTCAAATTGAAATCTAAAACAACTCAGTTCTTGTGTAAAGGCTGCAGTCTGAATATTTTTAGCATGGCAGTAATAGCAATTCTGCAGAGCAGCTGGATTTCTTCAACAATTTGTCTTGAAGATGTCCTGTTTTTATATCAGAGTGTTGTGTAACCCATAAAATCAATGCCCTGGATGATTGTGTGAGGACCGTTCGGCCAGCTGTGTGAGACATCTCATTATGTCTGTGCTCTCTGCGGTATTTTCCGGCTCATGTTGTGCCATGTAGTCATATGGGTTTTAAACATAGAGCGAGAGCAGGTGCAGCCATAGTCCAAAAGCACTGGAGAGGAAACAAACACAAACAACATGCCTTATCCTGCCTTGAAGTGTCCCTCGTCCCCACGGATCTCGGCTGTGCCATCGGTCTGTGCTCGACTCTGCGTGCGAGCCTAAGCCCAAGCCTCAAATGGCACTGATCGGTACAGTACCTGCTCCTTACAGCCAGCAGGAGTATGCAGGCCTGCTGTGATAAATTGCCAAGCAGCTAAAGGAGGTGAAGGGAAGGGTTCCTCTAAGGGTGTTTTGCTTAATTGCCAGTCCGTTAACAAGTGGTGGAGTTTGATTAAGCGCAGCAGGAGAATAGTTCATGGCTGTCAGTAATGCTGAGTGC